CCCCACGAACTTGGACGATCTCCCAAGGACCAGTAAAACCTTTCTCGAGTGGCGGTTTATGGGCGTATACGTACTGGCCCACTTTGTATGGGATATAAGGTTTGCTTTGTTTTTTAGCAGACTGTTGATTACGCTTTGCCTTTTCTGCAATTATCCGTTGCCGAATTGTAGTTTGTTGTTCATGTTTAGCTGACATGTCTGGTGGAGCGCCGGATCCGGCGAAATCAACTAGATCAGATGGGTTTCGGGCGTCATCACCAAATGCAGCTTTAAAGGGTGTTAACTTAGTAACTGTGTGAACTGCGTTATTCATGTGGAATAATGCTAATGGCAGTCGATCGTCCCAATCTGTGCCATGTTCGATTAGCGTTGCTTGAAGTTTTGCTTTCAGGGTTTGGTTTGCTCTTTCAGTTGCCCCATTAGCCTGTGGGTGATACGCTGCAGTCTTTGAGTGATGAACGTTGTATCGATTAAGCAGTGCCTGTACAGGATGCTTGGCTCTGTCACATGGTCGATGGGCTGTGCTTACAAATTCTTTACCTCTGTGGGATACTATAGTTCGAGTTTTAAGACCGAAAAGTAACAGTATGCGTTCAAGTGCCCTGGCTACCATCTTTGCTTCTTTGTTCGGCAGTGGCTCGGCTTGTGTGAACTTTGAAAAGTGGCAGTGAGCAACTAGGGCAAACCGATTTCCACGAGAAGATGTGTCAAAGGGGCCTATCAGGTCGATGCCGAGTTTTTCAAAGGGGGCTGCTGGAGTGTCACTTACTTGGACAGGAGGAACGCGGGGATGTAGATTTGGTTTTGTTGTAGCACAAGTTTCGCAGGATCGTACATAGTCGGTGACGTCTTTGCTTAGGTTGGGCCACCAGTACAGGCGTTGAATATTTTCTGCCGTGGAAACTTTGATGAACTTCCTATAATAGCCGAAAAGTCCGTAGATGCACTTTGCTTCCTTCTTGGACGTTGGTGGGCATATGTCTTGAATGGCTTGCCGATTCTTTGCGTTTGGTTTGATCAAACCATTCCCCACAACATGACCCAAAAAGTCAACTTCCGGTTTACCTAATTGTACTTTAGATGTCTTAACTCTTAACCCAGCACTTTCCAAACGGGTGAGGACTGACTCAAATTCCACCCAGTGTTCTTTCCAAGTTTGTGTACCAATTAAAATATCGTCCAAGTAGCAAACTACACAATCCCATTGTAATTCACGCAATACCATGTCCATGAGCCTTTGAAAAACGGCAGGGGCCGTCTTAGCACCAAAGGGCATTACTGTCCATGTGAGTTGGCCTTGGTCAGTCGAAAATGCAAGTTTTTCAGCAGCAGATGATGAACTTGGGATTTGCCAGTAGCCGGCAATCAAGTCGAGGGTTGAAAAAATTTTAGCATCACATAAATTTTCAAGACAATCATTCATGTTTGGAAGGGGATAAGGGTCAGATGTTTTCACACTATTCAGTCCCCGGTAGTCAACACAAAGACGCCAAGTCCCGTCACGTTTTTGCACCATAAGAATTGGGGCGGACCATGGACTGGAAATTGGTTTCATTCGTCCAGATTCTAAACCAGCCTGCAGTTGCTATTTCACTTCATCTCTCAAGAAGTATGGTGTTCGCCGCCAGGGCGTGGCCACTGGAGCAGAGTCTCCAGTATGTATGTCGAATGTAGTAAGATTTGTTAAGCCAAGTTCTGAGGAGTCTAAGGCAAACACATTCTGGAACTGTGAGATGAGATCTTTTGCTTTGGGTTGCTCAGATTTGGGAAGGTCATTCACTCCCATTAAGGATGCGATTTGTGCTAGTCGCTTGGAAGTAGGCTTGAGTGGTTTTTGATGAACATTTAACTTAGCAACCTTTGGCATTGTGTCCTCTGAGGGAGGTTTGACTTCTTCGGCTCGGACAATAACTGAGTTAGCTTTAATTGTCACCTCAACATCATTGGGGTTTAACAGTAATATGGGAAGTTCATCATCATTAGTGGTCATATGATAAAGTGAAGAACCGATGCAGAGTTGGGGTTCAGTATTGGTAACGCTTCTATTGACTAGGAAGGTGGCTGATCTTGGTACTCTCTAATTGATTTGGGTTGCTATTTGTCTCTCTGATCGAGGGGGAACGGTGATATCTTCGAGGGGGAACGGTGACATTGTTTTGCGGATGATCCTAGCTGTAAATAGAACTCCATTGTTACATACGATTTTCTGTACTCTTCATCAGTAGCATAAGCACGGGTAGCAGCTGTGTTGAGGCGATCGAGAAAATCCACATATCGCTCTCCCGGAAAACGACGAATTGCTTTCAGTTCGGCCATGTTTTTCTCCTTTTTCTCCCACGTTGGCGTTTTGTCGTCCAATTTCCTTGTTAAGAATTTCAACAGGCTGTCTGCTGTTTCACACTCAGCGATATCATTGGGCCATAACTTAAGTATTGACCTGTCAATGCTTGCCAAAATCAGTCAACGCTGTGTAACCGCGCGCGCCAATTCTCCCCCAGTTCACTTAATTGCGCACGTCCACAGCTAATTAGACTATTGTCAACCACATCGTTTGCCTAGCCAGAGAAGCACATATAGCAGCTACAAATCAAGGAATACTTTTAAATAGTTAATTTCAATCTCTCCAATTGCACACATCAATTTTGTGTCCAATCTGTTCTCTGGCAGTATAAGCGACAAAGAGATTGTAAGACAAAGTGGCTTTTTGAAAGCATTGGAACCTGGTGATGCTATTATGGCTGACAAGGGATTCCATGTGCAAGATCTATTTGCTCTTTGTGAGACAAAATTGATTGCCCCACCAATAATGAGAAAGGGTGTAGTATCTTCAACAGCCTCCACAATGACCAGAAGAATTGCAGCATCTAGGATTCATGTTGAGAGAGTAATCAGAAAATTGAAATGCTTTGGTATTTTAAGAGGTGTCATGCCATTGACAAAACCTTATGCAAGTCCAATTGTCAAATTGTGTTCAGCTATTGTAAATTTACAACAAAGTGCTATTAAAATTTAGTAATTTTATTCTTCATACTTCATGTGTATTTCATTTTATACTTTTTCAACAATAAAAGAGACTCCAAATGCTTTTTTAACATAGTGCGCTTATCTTCAGCTTCTTCTGGCTCAAACCATCTATGCTGAAGAGAGCAATAGCTTTCTCGCTCAGATTCGTACTCATCCAACTCCCTAATTCAAGGTAATTTTGTTATTGCGAACTTATATTCAGTATATTACAGTTGCAAAAAGTTGCAATATACCTGCAGAAAATACTTTAAGAAAAGTGATATGTAAATGCCACAGTTGTTGCTGTTTAGTGGTTGCTGTGGTACCTGTAAAAATTAGTATGATGCTTTAATATTGATATATTATGTAATTCATCAAAATTACCTCAAACAAAATTGTTCATAACTTGATAGTATAAGAGACTTATTAAGATTTAAATCTTAGTATGCTTTAGTAGAATGCTTTAGTAATAAATAGGATTTAAACAACAGTGTATTGAATGCTAAAACTGATACCTTCAATGCTTTGCAAGAAAGATTCAAATACTTTTGCTTCACACGAAATTTTCTTGAAATGTGTTCCAGGAAGCTTAAAAAAGAATATATACAATTTCCAAAGTTGGCAAATACTTTATTAATTAATAGAAATTCACATGTACATATTTTAAAGGCATGAACTATGCATTATATATGATATGAAGTAACAAACCTAATGATGTTTGTGGACTCAGTATTTCTCAAGTTATCATCCCATGTTAATGTGTCCATGACCAATAGATGCCAAGGCGTAATCACAACTAATAGCCAATGCTTGCTAGGAAAGTTTGATGTACTCATTAAAAATTAAATTATAAATTACATTATAAAATTTAAATTCATTAAATGATACATTACCTTCTATTAATAGGAATAACTAGGTAATCATCAGTGATCAGTCTTGGTGGAAAAAACATCTCTCCTTTTATATTTTGTTCCAATCTAGAAAATTACACAAGAATGTTGCATATATACGTTATGTCAGAATTAATATGTATATACATTTAAATTTGGTCAATGCTCAACAATGCTCGACATTGGCATTACTAACCGTGACAATTGACTATTTCCTTCTTGTTCCCCACATAGAACAGTGTAGAAAAAAGTGCTCATTATTTCAAATTGGCAGCTTAAATCCCTGATGAACAAAATGCTATGTAAGAATTCTATTAAAATCATAATGAAATGGCTCAAGACATAAATTTACTTATTCTAATAAAACCGATGTGGGTTTCTTGGGGGTTTCAAAGTTTCAATGCTAGCTTCACAGACATCAACACCATTACATCGAATTCACTATTATGCTTATCAGTTTCATCATCATTGTTATGTTGGAGGTTGATGGGATTAGTTTGTGGAACAATATTCGTTGCAGGGGCACCATCATTATATGTTGTATTCTCAACATCCATTTCTTCTAAAAAATGTTTAATATAATAAATTTCAATCACTCTAAAAAGGACCATAGAAAAGACAATGATAATCTATTGTAGATTATTTATTCAAATACAAAGTATGGTACCTGTTTGTGGGTGAACATTTGGGAGTTGTTGTTTCACTAAACATGGTAAAACATGGTTTACCCAAAACTTCTCCAGCTTTAGAAGCACATGTTTTGTATAATTTGCATTATATGGCACTCGAAATTAACATGTATTTTTGCATAATTTATGCAAATATATGCATAAATTATGCAAGAGGCATGCGATGAAATTGAAATTGGTATCGTTCGAAAGCGGAAGCTCTCCTCTCTCGAATGACGCCATTTTCGTGGCGGTATGTATTTTCGTTCGTGAGATACTTGAGTACGATTGAACGCACTTGAAATTGTTGAAATTTGATCGGACGGCAATGAGTGTCCTTTCTAACATCTTCAATGTGTTTATGTAGAGATCTTGTATTGAGGTAACAAACTTTTAAATCGGATTGATCCAACATATAAAGTGGTTTGAAACAAAGATTTCATTTATTTTCAGTTCTTAAGATTTCCATTTCCTTAACAACTCTTTCATCGACGGATATCTTGTCTTCACATAGGTTAGTGATGTATAATCCTTCTATTGCTGTTACTCGACTTAAAGCAACGTAATGAATGTGAGGAATAGCCCTGTTACTGTTTAGGTTTACAACAATTTGTGTTTGGGTATCACCTTGTGATCTATGAACAGTCTTTGCTGATGCTGGTCGCAGTGGAAACTGTTTTCTAACAACTTGAGCAGATTTTGTTCTACCAACGGAAAATTGGGTTGTGACAGGTTTAATTGGTGTCCATGTGTTTTGAATTCCTCTAACATAGAGCGTTCTATTTTCTTGACGAGTTTTTCTACCAACATCTTCATAATCAAATTGGACCCAGATAAGACCCGAAGGCTTATTCTCGTCAGTAAGTTGTATTAACTTAATAATATTACTAGCCCCATTTGTAAGACCATCATCAGTGCGCACATTTGTTGCAACTTCAGTACGTTGGCCAACAGCAAGTTTTAGTTTAGACTTTCTTAAGGGAACATAAGGTATTTGCCTCATTATTTTTTCTTTAAGTTTAAGTGACGCTGCTCCAATAACGCTATCTTGAGCTTTAATTGTATATCTATTATCCGTAAATGATTCATATACTTGATTGTTATATTTGTCTACTAAAGCGTTTTGAATAAACAAGCGTGGAGCTTCTCGAGGACAATTCGATTCCTGAACACATCTTTCCTTTAATTTTTTAAGATCACTAGTTGTATGTTTACCTTCTCGTAACCTGTTTAAGATTTCAGCAAACATTTTACTTTCTCTTTCTCGCATTATTTCATCAAGTTCAAACATTTTAAAATATTTTTTCCATAAATTAGGAGTAAGTACACTATAATAATTTAAAGACTGGAGATCAGTGAAAATGTAACTATCCATGACAGGTTTAAGTTGAAATAAGTCACCGATTGTAATGATGCTAACACCACCAAAGTCGTCTTTGCTTCCTTTTAAATCCTTTAAACGATTATTTAACTGAACAGTAAACATGCTGTTTCCAACCATTGATATTTCATCAAGTAAGATCAACTTTAATGCACCAAGCTCACATCGTAAAGTGTTCAACCTACCAGAGTCTAATGGTTTATATATTTTAAGTGACTGGCTTGCTGGAATTGATAAGGCACTATGGATTGTGTTTCCTTTAATTAGGTAAGCTGCTTTTCCTGTTGGAGCAAGCAATAATACGTGAACACGACGAAAGTCTTCGCCAGCTTGTTTATATTGTGCTTTAAAGCAGCCTGATAAATTGACTTAATCAAGTGAGATTTACCAACCCCTCCGCTTCCACTTAAAAAGGCATAAAATGGATTAGATGTCTTCATTAAATGTAGAATATGATAAAAAAATTCCCTTTGTTTCTTGTTTAGCATTTGAACCAAACGTCGGTAGTCATCATCTTCCATTTCATTTAAAATGAGTGGTTCATTATTAGGTAACCTTTTACCTTGATGGGATACCCAAGTCTTCAGAGACATCATATCTTTCATTGAAATCAGGATGGGTATCTATATTACCTTCGTTCTGATCTTGACGTTCAGTGTCTTGTGTAACTGGTGCTATCGTGTCATACGCATCATCATCACATTCTTGTAGGTGATGTTGAATTTCACTTAAGTCTTCAATACAAACTGCGTATTGTTGCATTTGTTCACCGATCTTATCACGACGAGCTTCGTAATGTTCTTCAAAGGAAGAGTAACCTCCAATTAAATCAACTTGTTCATTTCTCCATGGAGTGAAAAGCATGATCAACTCGCGATAATGTTTTTCTGGTTGAGATTCTTCGTTAAACCAAACACTGCGGATAATTCGCGCATGTGATCTTTTTTTTTATCGCCTTTTTAGATGAATCACAAGTTTCGCTGTTTTCAACACCTAGGTCATCATCATTATTTCCATCTTCATCTTCCAAAGGGAGGTTGTCAATATCTGATTTATTAGCAGAATTTTTATACTTTGTCTGACCAGATGAATCGTACCAAGCTGCCCAGTCAGCTAATGTAATATTTTTTAAACTGTCTGGTCGTTCTACATATCGTTTCAGAAGTCCACCAGAGTGAAATTCTTCACACTCATCTGACATTTTCTCAATCTCACAGAGAGGTTTCAATAGTTCAACACGATCATTTGGAGGAGATGTGTTAATGAATACAACATTTCGAGAAGACTTTCTCATCGGTAGTTGGAGAATGATATACACTGCTTCTTGTGCACTTATTTCAACTGAGTTTAAAAACTTGTTACCAATGTCACGAACCTGCTGTTTGATGATGGAATTACCTTCCCTGGCTTCAGCACAAGCGTTACGTAACAAGTCACTCATTCCTTTTTGAGCTTTAGAAATATAAGAAACAATGTACATAGCACAGGCATATACATCCAACACAAATTGAATATCCATGTTAGCTCTCCATGCTTTAAGGCAAGCAGCGTTATAATTATTAATCCTTAATTCATTAGGACTTCGTTTTAGAAATATTGTTGGACAATTTAGTGATGATCGAATTGCCAGAATATACTGATGTTCTGAAACATTTAGTTCTTTCAGTAGTTGATCGAATGTTACGTCCTCTCCTTCTTTTAAATCATCTAGTTTATTCTTAATATTCTTCCACAACTATTTTCTGGCTCTTATGACAGTTTCAGAAGCATTATCATCAAGTGGGTAAAGTATTTGTGTTGTTCTCATAGGTGGCTGAGGATAGTTAAATCTACAAACTTTTTTGGTGTTCTTTCGGCATGTGTGAGAATGTCTATGAGTTTGTCTGTTTACAAGATCAAATAATTCACTGTCATTATTAGGCTTTCTACAAGTTATTATTTGGTCAATGAAATTCACTACATCTTTATCAACACCAAATACAGGTGCATTTTCAAGCCATATCAGCATATGAATGTGAGGTGACCCTCTCTGTTGATATTCAACCCTGTAAAACCAATCTTTCAATTTCCCTAATGGGGCAATTTCACTCATTAAAAAGTCTTTTAAGAAAGTGTTAAATTGGTAATCAAAATGCCTTGCACAAGTTACTGGGTCACTTTGAATTAATCTACATTTTTCATCCCAATTTAAATTTTCTAACTCCTCATCACTATAATCCTTGTGATCAACAAGCTTTCCAAGGATTCTTAGTAAATGAATCCATTTTGTTTCAGCAGATGAAAAACTACAAAATAACAATGCAGGTCCTAACTGCCGAATCATAGCAAAAAAGTCTTTTTTTGCTTTTTCAAAGTAAGGTGGGGAACCTCTCAAAGCTCTTAAAAATTTGTATCCCTCGTCATGACAAATAAGATTTGTTAAACCTTCCGGTGTTTTTAAGTCTCCAGCAGTAAGTGTTCTGTTTCCCATTTTACATTTGTGAATAGCAAGCTGAGATTGCCCTAGCAATAATTTCATTTGCATTTTTTTAGCCTTAAAAAATATGTTCTCAATGCACATTGCAGCTCTTCTATCAGAACGTCTTAGTTCAGATTTGCATATTTCACTGTACAAGACACGAGTCAATCTTTGCTTCTCATCTGGCCGCTTTTGACCTAGGAATATTCCTGGATAAGCTAGTTCCTCAGAATACTGATGTCGAAATATGCTGAGTGGTCTACTACCTTCACCTGGTGCAACATTGTATATATGTTGTCTTTCAGTATCATCTACAAAATCAGTAGGTGTGAGCATACTGTCTGTTACACCAGCAGGAATTTCTGCTTCATCTTCACTCCATTCATCTTCTGAAGATTCCAAATTAGTTTGATCAACTGAAGTATTTTCAATGTTACTATTACGTGTTGTAACATCAAAGTATGATAACCAATGCTGATCAAAACTTATTCCTTGTTCTCGATATAGTTCACTATTATTTACCAACCAAGCTGCAGCTTATATCACTTTATTAGGTCTGACATTTAAAGCCAACGCCGAACTCTTATATTGCAGTCGACATTTTAATTGAACTTTAATAGTCCCAGTATCTTGTGGTAACCTAGGTAACATGTTAACAGTATTACATACATCTGCTGGTACATTCACAACATTACCATTAATTTTAAGTTGACCTCCTCTAGGAGCTTGCATTATTTTTTGAAATGCTAATCTTGGAGCTATAAGCCTGCATTCTAATTCATTTAAATCAAAAAAGTCAGGGTTTTTTGGAAACTTCAAGCCATTTGAAATTGCACATGGTGGAACTTTATCCTTTTTAAGATGTTTGTCACATGTTAAACACAGGCATTCAATATTATCCACACTTTTAATACCTTGTAGATGTTTAGTAGAATTTGGATTGGACAGTCGAAGTTTCTCAGCAGGACAAACACTATGTTTATACCATAATTGATCACAACATGAGCATATATACAGAGGACTTGTTGATACAGATTTATGGAACTTATCTGTCAATTGTGATACACTATTATGTGATGTAATGTTACCATTATTGAGATTAATTTCAGAATATCTTTTTTTATTTTTCTGATAACGACTTCTTCCTTTTGCTAATCGCTGCTCCCTTTGCTTGCTAGTTTCATTTTGCCTTTGCAACCTAACCTAACCCAACGCACTTTCGATCTCTCACAGCTAATTACAGAACCTACTCGTGTATCGGATACTTCACGCACTTTAATTGATGTTATTTTGGTAAACAATGAGCATCGCATCGCCGATTCCGGTGTAGTCCCTGTTTCGTTGAGTGATCACTTTCTTGTCTATTGTATCATAAAAGCAGGTGTCAAGAAAGCACCGCCTAGAACTATTGAATATCGCTCATATAAGAATTTTGACACTGATGCTTTTAAAAACGATCTAAACCGTGTTCCATGGCATATTTTAGAAAATGAGGCAAACATCGATGATGCATTATATACCTGGAATAAATTATTCTGTGACATTGCAAATTTGCATGCACCGATGAAAAGACGCAGAGTACGGGGTGTGCCATTACCATGGATGAATACAAAGATAAATGAATTAATGAGAGATCGTGATTATTATCACCGCAAGGCTATGAAATCAAATTCGCCTCATCATTGGGCTGAATATAAAAGACTTAGAAATTTAACAAATCGTAAATCTACGCAAGCAAAATCGGAATACTATTGTAATATGATCAAAGAAGCTAAAGGTGATGCTTCAAAAGTATGGCAAGCTGTAAATGAAGTTTCCTCTCGTAAGGCTAAAACATCGGGTCCACAGTGTATTATTGCTGATGGGATCAGTTATGTGACTCCCTCATCGATTGCATCTGCATTGAACTATTATTTTGCTTCAATAGGGAAGATTCTTGCTGATAAAATAACACCCGTTCCCGCTTATTTATCCTTAAATAAACACTTGGAAATATTCGAATTGAAAGAAATTGATGAATCAATTACTCTTCAACATCTAACGAGCCTAAAGACCAATAAAGCTATTGGTCTAGATAAGATCAGTGCAAGGTTATTGAAATGTGGTGCACCAATAATCAGTTCCTCTATTACGAAACTCATTAATTTGTCGATTCGTTCTGGTGAATTTCCAGAGATTTGGAAATGCTCTAAGGTTACAGCTTTGTTCAAGAAGGGTGACCGAACAAATGCAAATAATTATCGACCTATCTCAATATTACCCACCCTTAGCAAGATCATGGAGAAAGTAGTCTATGCTCAATTATATGAGTATCTGATTTCGAACAATTTGCTCTCCAACAAGCAATTTGGATTTCGCTCTAAAAAGTCAACAACCACAGCTTTGTCTGCATTTGCAGATGAAGTGCTAATGAATATGGAAAAGGGGAACATTTGTGGTGCCGTATTTCTGGATCTGACCAAGGCATTCGACACTGTCGATCATGGAATTTTGATATCAAAACTGTCCTCTATGGGCGTTTCCATAAAAGCTCTTGGCTGGTTCAAATCGTATCTTACCAATCGAAAACAACGAACTTCATGTGAGGGTGAACTGTCTGATACTCGTCCTGTTGCTTTTGGAGTCCCACATGGCAGTATTTTAGGCCCATTACTGTTTTTGGTGTACATCAATAGATTATCCGATGTTGTTAAACACTCAGAAATCTCACTGTACGCTGATGATACAGTTATGTACTGTTTTTCAGATGATCCACATGAACTGGAAAATTGTCTAAATGAGGATCTCTGCAATGTAGCCGTTTGGCTTAGAGAGAATAGACTTACATTAAACCTAGAGAAGTCGAAATCCATTTTAATTGGAAGTAATAGAAAATTAACGAATATTTCTTCATTGACCCTATCTATACATGACAGTAACCTGAACTCAGTAAAAAATTTTAAGTATCTCGGGATCACGTTATCTTCGGATTTTTCATGGACTAGTCATGTTGAACATGTAATATCAAAAGCAAATCAGCGACTTGGCCTCTTATGGAGAATTAAGCATTTTCTGCCTTACCAGGCGCGTTTGTTATTTTATAACAGTTTAGTGCTCCCACTTTTTGATTACGCTGACATCATATGGGGAGATAAGAATAATATAGTTATAATGAATGATCTTCAAATCTTACAAAATAAAGCAGCAAAGCTTATTTTAGATAAACCATTACACTCTTCTGCTACTGAGGCTCTTGTAAAACTGAAGTGGCCGAATTTGAAAGAACGCAGATTTTATCATCGATGCGCGTTCGTTTATAAATGTAAAAACGAATTAACAGATCATAATTTAAATCTGTTAACTAATGGAGACGTGCACCATTATAATACTAGAAACAGTGACCTTTTTAGACTTCCACATGTTAGTA